ATCATTTTGTCTGCCTCTGATATTAGCTCTTGAGCCAACTCCAATTGACTTAGTTTATCCAATGTCTGCCACCTAGAAGGGATTTATTTATATTTATATGCCATATATCATTAGCCATGGCTGGGTACCTTGCTGGGGCTGTTATAACTTTGGATATTCTCCACATTATGGTTGGGTTTAAAATATAACTGATGGACAGCTAACATTGGAAGCCAACATTTTTTAGATAAAAGTGTGCCTGYTTAATGATTTTCTTTAATGATTCTTTTTAAGGATTTTTTAGAGGCAGCAAGCAATATGTTGAACGGATCCTGGCATGAGAGCAACACATCWATWSKCCAGGACTTGTCATCAGRATACCTTAAGTCTGTGGAGGGTCTGGTGAAAAATATCCAAGTGAACAAGACCAGCCATATCAGCAWGCCAAACTTGGACTTCAAAGTCTGCTCWGAAGCGGARTGTGATTTATCAGTGTTTAACGTCAGCGTGGCCCTAAATAGCACCAGCAAGTTGAAAACTGTTGCTGTGAAAAATCTGGTGGATAAATTAAATTACCCAATTCAGCAAACATTACTACCTCCGAACAGCATTTTTATAATAGCCACACTAGAGAACAGCAGTATGTCGTCTTTCAATATTACAATGGAGCACCTGAACCAAACACCACTATGTGTCTACTGGAACCACACGGGCTGGTCACAAGAAGGTTGCACATTTGAGCCTAGTGACGGTAACAACACAATCTGCAAGTGCAGCCACCTATCTGCATTCTCTGTCCTCATGTCCAAGAACGATACACCTAACCCTGCCCTAGATATCATCACCTATGTGGGCTTGAGTGTGTCCATCTGCTSTCTGCTGATCCTACTCATCATTGAGTCTCTGGTGTGGTCTGCTGTGGTCAAGACTAATCTCTCTCATTTCCGTCACACAGCACTAGTGAACATCGCCACATTCCTCTTGCTCGGCAACTGCAGTTTTTTGGCCTCTGCCTCACCTGAGATTCTCAGTGATGACTGGTGCTTAATTTTGACCATATGCAAACACCTATTTTTTTTGGCCATGTTTGGCTGGATGCTGTGCATGAGCATCATGCTTGTCCACCAGCTCATCTTTGTCTTCAGCCCACTTAGGAAAAGAGTCTTCATGTTGTTCTCCAGCATCGTAGGCTACGCTTGCCCAACTCTCATTGTGGCAATCAGCTATTTGTATTGCAAATACACCAACAAGAACTACCATGATAAAGAAACATGCTGGCTWGTTTTTGAGAAAGTCTTGGAGGGGTCAATGCATGCTTTCYTCCTCCCTGTGGGAACTATWATTTTCATAAATCTTTTTTCCATGATGGTCGTCATTKTAACTCTGATGAAGTCCTCGGTCCCTGATGGCAGCAAGGCGGATGATAAGGAGACAGCTAAGAGCATTATTARAGTGATGGTCTTCYTAWCACCRSTTTTTGGAGTAACATGGGGTATTGGCTTMCTTCAGCTGATSTTTAAMGAAGGCCAACTGGRGCATACTATTGCTAGGTACAGTTTCACCATCCTCAATGCTTTCCAGGTAATTTGAACACAGCATACACACCAAACAAACTAGCAATGCAATGATCCACCTTTCCTTACTTAATGCCTGTTCTCCAACTTAGAGTATTGTATCTGATGCTCAATCTGGCACCGGTGCTCTCTTTTCCCCAAATTGAATCTGTATCTGCTGTTTAGTTACCAAGCATATAATGGAGAGGTATGCTGAGGTTACATCCACACCARTGTSTTTTAGTTTTACAACCTGATGTCCACACTACACCAGTTTCTGAGCCCAGAAAACATTAACTTTGGGAAACGTTGCTCTTCCAAAAGAAAGCAATTGGCTTTGGCCTCCAGTGGTGAATACAACATGCATGATGAATTACAAACATTGCAAACCTTTAGTTTCAGAAACAGTTTCACCTTGTAGAAAGTCCAAGCACTGTTTATGTGAATGGTCATGTGAGTCTGGACTGAAATTAATAGAGATTGTTTTGATTTTAAAATGTTTAGCAAGTAACTGTTTTTTTAATTTGATCCACCATTGCTTGAGGCACATTTCAAAAAGTCAAACAACCTCCTGCTGTACTTGTTATAGCCCTTTGAGAAAAAAATACATTATTTATTATGAAATATGAAAAGTGTAGTCACTTTGACTTATTTCTCCTCCTACAGGGCTTTTTTGTAATGTTGACAGGGTGTTTTGCAGAGCRAAAGGTAGGTTTATCATTTTTACTTTGACTGTTTATGCTCTATCAATATCAATATGTTCATTGCTTTATAAGAATATACAAAGACTACAACACTGCCTGTGGKTCCAACATAAATGCATTACAGCRCCTGATAAACCTTCCGGATATTAAGATTAGTTGTTATTTGTGTTATTATTAACAGGTGCGAGAAGAACTGTTAAACCGAATGGTAAGTTTGCCAAGACTGTCTATTCATAATTACACCACAAAATGACAGACATGTGCCTCATTTCTCTGTTTGCTTCTACTTTCAGTTYAAAGGAAAACATGACAGCCTGAAGAATTCAWCCACATTTACAAAGGACAAATGAAGGCAGAGGTCAGTCTTATGTTGTCATTGATGTCATTTTTTAGCATTGACTATAGTTGCAAAAAAAATTACGTCTGTATAGTCATGAAACACTGGACATTCTGACCTAATAATGGCAACAGATTGAAAGTTTAAGGAATCACAAAAGYATTCAAGCAATCATTAGGTTATAAGTCTGTACCAAATTTGATAATCCACACAATTGAGGTGGGAGGGAGCGATACTGTATTCCCACTTCCAAATTT